AATTCGTCAATCCTATGCTGTATGTACTCGAGTGGCCATTGTTGACTATTTTGGCATGCTACTTTATTTTGTTTGGTGCATGCTACATCCACCCATTTACCAACATTTGGAGTTGACAACTCTATTTCCACGCAATCATTTGTGGCATTTGAAGGTGCTCCTGTTTCCCAATTAGTGTAGTCATCCTTGGACCCATCTACCCAGGTCACTTTCTTATTGCTTACCATAGGCCCAACCCACACGTTGTCCACTGTTTTATGTTTCGTGAATAATAGGTCTGATAGAAAGTCCTGTTCCTGTTGTGAGTGTATGGTTAGTAGAGTAGCTCCTGGACCTTGTTTGTTACATAAGTCTTGAGCCAAGTCAAAATTTTTAAGATCAGGTAAAATTTTAAAACATTTTTTCTCAAGGTATTGTTCCCATCCTACGGCGCAATATGATTGACCATGCGCGTAGTGGCCTAGTAATATAAAATATATAGTAATTGCAATGCAATATTGCCATACAAAAAATATAAATAGTACATACATGCAATAAACAACAATAGTATATAACGCACAATAATTATAGAATTCATACTTGATGAAATCAATATGTTTTTAAAACAACTCAGGTTTTATAAAATGAATTAATAAATTTTTGTTGTTGGTATTTATACAAATATTTAATCAAATATACCTGTCTTGGAAATTATTTTAATCGATTTTCCCACAATTGGATTAAATAATTTACTATGCTAATAATTGATTGACTGGTTTATAATGAAATATGATGATAAGACTTTTATTTCAATTCTCTCGTATTTATACAAGATTATTACCAAAATAATTCAAGGTAATAACTTATCAATTTCAAGAAGTTATATAATCTATTTCTAAAGGATTAGTATTGTTTTCAATTAATTTGTAATCTATCAGGCCATCCTGTATATAAATAAATTAATAAAAATAATATAATATTTATTTGAATTTATAACTTAAATATTAAATATTTCTTAGGTTTTAAATTTATCATCTTAAATACTATTAAACTTTATATTTTAATTATTTATTTATTAAAAAAAATATGTAATTGTAATTTAAATTTTATTAATTAACTTATAGGTGTGTTTATTAGAATTATATATATTAAATGTGTATTATTTGATAAGATTCTCAAATATAAATTTGTTATTGTCAATTAAATAAACTTTATAATCAACACGTTATTGTTTATTAAATACCGCAAGTCAAGTAGCCCTAAAAATAGTCTAGGAATATTATATAAATTAATCATTTGAAAACACTTACAAAATACCTTATTTAGCAAAATTTATTTATCGATAAATATATTTTATTTAATCATAGGCTATTTTATGAGCTACGTAAAATAAATGAATTTACTTAATAAGGTACTTTTAAGTGTTTAATGATTAATATATATAATAGCTTAAAAATATCAACCATAATATAACTTAAAACAATTAAATGTTATATACAGAAAATATTTGTAAAAGTAATTTTTAGATTTATTATATTTAATATAAATCTTAAACATTAAATAATTAAAATTTA